ATCAAGACATGAGCAGAAAGTCGTCGCATTGGGGCCATGGCCAACGCGAAACGCCGCGTGAAGGTATTTCCGATGTTGGTGGCTCGGCCGCCGATCGGGCTAGCTTTCTTGAAGTAGGTTACGGTCGCCTTCTTTAAGGAAGCGATTGTAGAGAGAGAAAGTGATGCGTGAGGAGAGAGAGAAAGAAACAAAGGGATTTCTGTGTGTATTTATGGTCTGTCAATAAATATAATTAAAATAAATAAATAAAAACGGTCCTTTTCAGGTTTCAATACATCCGTTACACTACAATTCAAAATTCATCTTTTTCAAATTTGGGGTTGACTAAGAGATCTGGTCAACATTATTTCAACACGAGTTCGAATTCTCTTATCAGTAATTTTTTTAAAGTAGTATTGGGCATACATTTTTTTTTTTTGAGTAAATTCAAGTTCATTATAAGGGGAAGTAGGGGAAGGGGGACTCGAACCCTAGACCGTTACCCTATTGGTAAAGGCTAGGTACCAAAAAAACACTCGTATCCTAGAAATTTGATTATTTTTTCATAAATATATATTGGACCGAATTAATTTATTCAAAAGTTATTGCAGCACCCGTAAGTCTAGTAGTATTGAATATTGTAACAATCGATTTATGGTCACCGTGCATGTTTCGAGCTTATTCACGGGTCGAACCAGGTTGTGGTCGTCCCTAACTACTAATATATATCTAATTACAAAAAAAAAAGTCGTGTAACGAAAAATATAATGTACGATAATTCTTGACATGCATAATACTATGATTATTCGTGGTTTTATATCGTTCATTAATCACCAACTATTATTACCAAAATTTTAAAACGAATCTACGTCAAAATAAATAGACAGTTCTTCCGTGCAACGGCTGAATCGGCCTTGCATTCCCAGTGCCCTGAAAAATGGAATAAGTTTAACTTAAATTAATTAGGTAAAAATTAATTGTGAAAATCCAATTGTAACCTAATTTTATATATTTTTTAGGAATTTACATTTTCAACAGCATCCCATAGTGCCATTATTTGTCTCCAAGAAACTGTCCTCACCTATAAATAAAATTATCCAAAAATATTATTAAAAAACAAAAAATAAAAAAAGAATTAATGAAAATTTAGTTACTTACAGACTTTAGTACTGTCCAAATAATATTTTCTGAGCATGGAGGAGTTGTAAGAGAACCGTTGTATCTATAATATTCTCGACCTCCGTATCTAATATGCTTCGGATCAATAATTCCGACGTCGGTGCCTTCACTATCAGCTGTTCGGAGGTACGGGAAAAACTGTCGGAGATTTATAAAATCACATGTTCATCAACTTTTAGTTAAGATCTAATGAAATAAAATTTTAATTAGAAATAATTAATTTGATGCTCTTATGATAATTAATTAATTAATCTCACACGTGCAATAAAATAATCAGGCCATCCTAACTTGTACAGGATGCCAATAACAGCAATATTTCCCTCACTGCTAATATGTACCATATGCAACTCCATATTATATCTGCAAAAATAATAAATAAAATTAAATATTTTTTGTTGGTTCACTAATAAGAAACCACATTCGATTTAAATTTTTTTTCGAAAAAAAAAAATCGAATTTCAGATGATCCAGCTGGTACCAAATTAAAAATACTATTACAATGTTTATATCATATTTGGTTACATTTATGATATGAAAAAGTAAAAAAAAAATAATAGAAAAATAAACTTCATAAAAATCGAAAAATAGTAGCGATAAATTATATACAGATACGAACCTAATTCCGTTTATTGTATGTTCGGAAGGAATATGCCAATGACATTGCTTCAATTTATACTCAGCCCCATATAATATAACTCCTCCAGCATCTCCTCTCCATTCCACCTGATTTTTTTTTAAATCGTATGAATTCGCGATAAATAAATAAAAAAAAAAAAAATACAAAAAAAAATAATAAAAAAAAAAAAGGTTTTAATTTTGTTACGTAAAAATTGAAATTAATTACCTCAATTTCATGGCCCCTATTTGTAATTATAGCTGGAGCTGGTTGATAATATAAATACAAATCTCCAAGTAAAGGCCAAAAAACCACATTGTGATAAATAATATTAATTGGAGATTGACTTATTCCATTTATACAGAGTGTGCAGTTTGATGATTCATTTTCATCTCCCACACCATCACTAAAATTAATAAAATTAATAAATAACACTAAAATAAAAAATAAAATAAAAAAACATCCCTTTTTTTGTCTTGAAAAATTCTTATTTGAAAAAAATGAATCCATATATGTGTTTGTGTGTGTGTGTAAGAAAATCATTAACTTAATGTTTAATAAACTTATAAACTTTGAATTTAGTTAGGAATATAAATAATTAAAAAAATGGTGATATATGTGTGTGAGGAAAAAAGGGGAAATGAAAAGAGAGGCATAATGGAATTCATCAGAATTAATTAATATTAATTATAAAATGATGGTTTAATTTCATCATGCAAAGAGAAACATCTTAATATTAATTAGAACAAGATTATGAAACTGAGTAGTATTATTTATTATAAAAAATGATTCTTTGTGTTTATTACACAAAAAAAAAATCTACACCTGAAAATAATAATATAATGACTATTCATTGTTATATATTTTTCATTAATCATAAAAAAAATATTATCAAAAAAAAAAAAGGAAATCAAGGTCGAAACAAATAAACGGTTCTTTCGTGTACTGGCTGAATCGGCCTTGCGTTTCCAGTATATCCCTGAAAATTGGAACGAAATAGTAAGCAAATTATTATATTGTGTTATATAAAAGCAAACTGCGTGCATTATAATATAGGAACGTACGTTATCAACAGCATCCCGTAGTGCGGTTATTTGTTGCAACGAGACTGTCCTCGCCTACAAAAATTACGAATAATATTTTTTTTTTAAAACAGAATAAAATGAATAACCTATGTAATATTAGAAGTCGAAAGTCGAAAGTAGAAACTAATTACTCACAGTCTTAATTATTGTCCAAGTAGCAGTTTCTGAGCACGGAGGAGTTGTGAGTGAACCGGTGTATCTGTAATATTCTCCGCCTTCAAATTTGATGTCTAATGGATCGAGAACTCCCACGTCAGTTCCTTCACGATTAGCGTTTTCGAGGTGCGGAAGAAGCTGTCGAAAAATTAAATTGATATACTGTTACTCCATCTGTTCAATAATAACTGTCACTTTTGAAAATTATTTTCGTTTCATATTATTAGTCACTTTATATTCCCAATATTGCATTAAATGTAAGTTAATTGCTAATCTTGAAAATCATAAGTATTGTAAATAATTAATTTGAGGCTTAAATATATATATATTTATGCTCACACGTGCGAGAAAAGAATCAGGCGATCCTAACTTGTACAGGATGCTCACAACACCAATATCTCCCTTAGAGCTGATATGAACAATATGCATCTCCATATCAAATCTGCATTAAAAAAAATACAAAAATATTTTCGAGTTTCAATTTAATTTTTTTTAATTAATAACAGTAATAGTTTACGGAAAATTTCGAAATTATTTGGAAATTTCGGATCGGCATTCTGAAATTCCGATTATTTGATATACAATTCCGATTCCGATGGATTTTTTTAGAAAAATTCGGAAATCGGATCAGAATTGGAAATTTTGTTCCAATTTTCACCCCTATATATATACATATTGATTGTACGGATACAAACCTGACTCCGTTTATCGTATGTTCGGAAGGAATATGCCAATGGCACTGCTCGAGTTTATACGCGGTCCCGTTTATTGTAACTCCTCCAGCATCTCCTCTCCATTCCACCTGTTTTAATTTAAAATCTTCAAGAATTCATATAAAAATATATAAAAGATTTTTTTGAGCTCATTTAATAATAATTGAAATTAATAATAAAGCAGCATGCTAGTTAATTAATTAATTACCTCAATAACATGGCCCCTGTTCTTAATTACAGCTGAAGCTGCCTTATAATTTGTAATTAAATCCCCAATTAAAGGCCAAACCACCACTTTATTATCAATAATATTAATTGGAGATTGATTTATTCCATTTCCACAAAGTGTCCAATTTGGAAAATTAAGGTTGCCCCAATTTTCTGGTCCATTTTCAGCTTCCACAACATAGGAATAAGTTTTATCCTCTGTAATAAATAAATAAATAAATAAATAAAATAATCACTTTTACAATTTAATCAAATATTTTGATGATTTTCTGCATAAAATGTTTAATAAACTTATTATCTTACTGTATTCGTACCTGCTTCGAACTCGGCATTCACAACGAAGAAAAACGACGACGAAATAAGACAATTGAATAAAGTGAGAATAATGAGGCTATTGTTCTTGAGAGTACTCATGATTTTAATCCTAATTGTTAGGGTGGTAACAATTTATTAAAAAAAAAATTATAAATCAATTAAAAAAAAGGTAAAATCAAGAACAAATATTGCAAATTTATAGTGAATCCATGCTTCATTAATTTTAAAACGAATTCTAAGATTGTTATCTTATTCAATTGGAAAAGTACATCTTTATACAAGAATACAAAATCAATTACGTTTCTATAATATTGTCTATAAATTAGCATAAAATATATTTAGGATGGTAATGAAACTAATTGAGATATACAAAATATTATCTTTCTTACTAATACGTATAATTGTCTTCAATCTTCAACAGATTCGGTGAAACTGAATTTTGACTTGATCGAACATGAACTCGATCCATTTGAATTCGCTCGAATCTGAACCGGATCAATGAATCCGAATCCACATTCACTCCAAATTTATAAGAGAACGAGTGTATATAGATCATGCAGAAAGTATTAGATATTAGATTTTAGAATTAATAATATTCATTATGCAATTATAAAATTAGAAACAGATGCAAATACATTGTTACAATCCAACACAACACTAGTATTTTCATTTATTTATTTAATTTAATTTATTTTTTCTTAATGAAAGAACTCATAAGCAATTATATAAGTGCACTGGGTAAACATACACTCTCGTATAATAATATTCGTGTTTATTGCAAATAAACCTCGACCACGACATACATAAGTTTTTCAGGAAGTAATATTATGATTAATTTAATTTAATTTAATTAATTAATTATTCGTTGTTTTATTTATTTGATTAATCATTAACTACTATTACCCAAATTTACAAAACAATCCCAGGTTCAAACAAATAGACAGGTCTTCCGTGTAATTCCTGAATTGGCCTTGCATTTCCAGTATTTCCCTGATATATAATTGGAACAAAACAACTTAATTAGTGAGAGTAATTAAATATTACACCTGATTATTTATACTGGTGAATTTTAACCGTAGAACTACATATAATCACACATACTTATGTATATCAGTGCTTAATGGATATTTATTTAGTCAGATCTACGGTTGAAATCCACCGGGTATAAATAATCAAGTGTAGCATCTAACTCCCCGAGTAATATGATGTGAGATACAAGAATAACAATGATTTATGAATCATAAAGCATGCATTTAATTATTTTATCATCACACGACAAAAAGCATGAACAAAGCCCAAATAATTAGACGCCGAAGCTTAACCTTTTTAATTGATTTGATTAGTATAGTGGATAAAATACACTTCACCCCCTATAATTTTTTTGAATTCGCACTTTGCCCCCTAAAAATTAAAAAAAGAGAAAACCCCCCTTTAAAATATTGCTATAGTTACACTTTGCCCCAAAACCTAGTTTCCGATGGGCAACGGGCAATAAAATAACATTTTAGAGGGACAACGTGCAACAAAAAAACAACACTTAAAAGAGGCAATATGCATTAACAATGACAATTTAAAGACTAAATTGCAATTAAAACACTTAATTTCAATGCATACCCATCGGAATTTGGCTATCGGGACAACGTGCAACAAAAACAACGTTTTGAAGGGGGACACTCACTTTTTAAATTTATACGGGTAAAAGTGCAAAAAAATAAAATTTACGGGGGGTGAAGTGCAATTTTCTCTAAAATATATCAAAGCAAATAATTATGTGCATTATATTGTAAGAACTCACATCATCAACAGCATCACTTAGTGCGGTTATTTGCTGTAAAGAGACTGTCCTCACCTAAAAAAAATGAAAGAAAACTAATATTTAGGAATTTTATTTTTTATTGTACATTTTGTTTTTTATATATCATCAAAATTAAAAAAAACTAATTACTATAATAAAATACTTACAGTCTTAAACACTGTCCAGGTAATATTTTCTGAGCATGGAGGAGTTGTAAGAGAACCGTTGTATCTGTAATACTCTCTACCTCCGAACGCAACTTCCGGTGGCTCGAGAATTCCGATATTGGTTCCTTCACGAGTAGCAGCTTGGAGGTACGGTAAAATCTGTCGTCGGAGATTTAAATTAAATTAATTACTATAAACTATCATTAAGGTGTAACATGACTTAAATTATCGAGAATTATCCGATGATTAATTTCTCACACGTGCAAGGAAAGAATCGGGCGGTCCCAACTCGTACAGGATGCCGACAACAGCTATATCTCCCTCGGAACTCATATGAACAGCATGCAGCTCCATATCAAATCTGCAAAAATATTAGACATTATTTGTGTCACACTCGATTTAATTTTTCAAACCCTAATCCGATACGGTCAAATTAATTCTTTTTTTTTTTTCCGAATAATATCGAATCTTGGACAACACTGATCAAATAGATACAAACCTAACTCCGTTTATCGTATGTTCGGAAGGAATATGCCAGTGGCACTTCTCGAGTTTATACTCGGTCCCGTTTATTATAACTCCTCCAGCATCTCCTCTCCATTCCACCTACTCAAGAAACCAAAAAAAAATAAAAAAATTTAATTAATTACCTCAATATATATCATGATAATTAATTAATTAAAAAATGTAAAAAAAAAATTATTAATTACCTCAATATCATGGCCCCTGTTTTTAATTACAGCTAGAGCTGGCTTATAATTTGTATTTAAATCCCAAAGTGAAGGCCAAACAACCACAGTATTATCAAGAATATTAATTGGAGATTGATTTGTTCCAGTTCCACATAGTGTCCAATTTGGAAAATTAAGGTTGCCCCAATTTTCTGGTCCATTGTAAGCTCCCACAACATAGGAAAATGAAGTTTGATCCTCTGTAGTAATTAATAATAATTAATAAATAAAATAAATTAAAAATCATCGATATTTTGAGGATTTTCTCTATCAGTAACGGAATTTACCGGAACGTGGAGAAAATGGAAGTTTTATTATTACGTAAAAAAGGAAAGCATCGTACCTACTTCACGCTGGTTAGCATTCGCAACGAAGAGAAACGACGACGAAATAAGATAATTGAATAAAGTGAGAACAATGAGGTTATTGTTCTTGAGAGTACTCATGATCTCAATCTTAAATTAAATGTGAGGGTTAAGATAAAGTGTAAGTTATTAAATAGATGTGAGAGTATGAGTTAATTGCACATAACCTCCTTTGATATTTTGAATTGCTAATAAAGTCTTTGCGTTAAAAAAAAAAATCAAGAATCTCCTTATGTCATGTCTTACAAAGCACATTGATCCTTATTTCAATTTTTGTTAATTGATTTAGATGAAATGATAAAATTATCCTCAATTAAGAATAAAGAAAAACCACGAAAGGGCAAAAAGAAAACAAAGAGAGAGAAAGAAAAAAATAATATTCTTGTTTCTTACACCAATCGTACAATCCACGCGCGGAGCACATGATGAACTGTTAGGGATCTTATTGCCTTTAAATAGTTTTATAGGAGGTTATTGCTATTTTTATGAACACGAGAATCTTTTCAAGAATTCGAGATTAGACAGGGGTCGTTTTCATTATTAAAAAAAATACGGTAAGAAATTAGTAGCAGCCTGGTGGAGGAGTAGATATTCAAATTATATTTAAATTAGGAGAATAAAACTTCTTTTCAACTTTATTATGCATTAAAAGAATAAAAAGGTATATATATATATATATATAATAATAATATATTTTACATATATAAGGGTGGTGGGCCTTTACCACCACTCTCCATTAAAAGACTAAAAAGAAAAAGAAAAAGTAGTTTACGAAATTGCCCCCATGCAGGATCGAACTACAGACCTTCAGTTTACAAGACTGACGCTCTACCACTGAGCTATAGGGGCACCGCTGACGAATGAATGAGCAAAGCATTCAATTTAATATTGATTTATATTAAAGGACACAAATACCACTTAATGAGATTTTAAAGCCACCAACTTTGACTTCCATGCTAATACATAATTAATTAATTGCCTTAAAGCATTGACTTGACCAACATAATTATAGTGGAATTTGCATATTTATTATTTACATATGCATATAACGTAAAATAGTAATATATAGAGTAAATTACAACCACACTCGGAGGTATGATTAAATTACGAAAACCCCCTTCTTGTTTGGGTAATTACAACCACTCATCAACTATAAATCTTTTTACATGTCTACCCTTGCAGTTTCAAATTTAGTGGAATCTTCGAGATTATATGGAATATTATCACTTTTGTACCCACTTTATCCAATTCGAACTCCACATTTCGAAGCAAGATGATCATAATATGTATTTTTCGTCTTGTAAATATCAGATTGTGGTGCATCAGAAACTGTATTTGTACACAAAATGACTACAAACTAGAGCACATTCCACGAAATCTATATGATTATGTTGAATTTGACCCATAAGGGTGGAGGTGTAAGAAAAAATCATAATTGAGGGGGTTAGACGTAATTATCCAAACAAGATGGGGTTTTTCGTAAATTGACCATGCCTCAAAAGGGTGGTTGTAATTTACCCTAATATATATTAATCTTAATACATATGTATATCTAATTATTTTTAATTTCTATCCAATGCATATGATATAATAGAATATTATTAATATCAATGTTACAAATAAATAATCTTAAATACACTTAGAGTTTTGTCGGTTTGAATGAATAGCTAAAAATGAGTAGTTCAAACTTCAAAGCTGTCGAACTAGCTAAAATTCAAATTTAGCTATTTCATTAAAGCTTTAATTGTTGGAGTGTTTGAGATGCTCTAATCCAATAATGTTATAATTTTAGTTTTGTCAACTAATTTAATTAATTCGGCAGAGCTATTAAGAGGTTAACTAATTTCTTAGTTATCCAATTGATATTATTCGTCGTGAAAATATTGCGTAAATTAAGATCAACTCTCGAGTTAAGGTTAAATTACGAAAAAAAACTCATTATATTTGGATAATTACAATCACCTCCCTCAACTATGTATTGTCTTACACGTTCATTTTACAGTGTCAAATTTATCTAATGAAAGAAGGGTTTTTAAGTAAGACAATACCTTGTTGAAAGGATAGTTGTAATTACCCAAATAAAATGGGGATTTTCGTGATTTAACCTTATTTCAGGAAAGCAGCCGTAATTTACCAAAAAATATTGATCGTATACAGAATGACGAATAAAAGCTTGTAATTTTGAATTGAATTTCCAAATATGAAAAATAATTATACGTAATTTATTGCCTTTGAAAATATCACATGTAAACCATTTGAGTTTGTCAAATTTGACTCGAGTTCGAAATTTTATTATAGAGAGCTCAACTCGTTTACAACCCTAATCTTAGTTCTAATAGCTCATTCTTACTCTTATATTGGGCTGAAATAAAACCCAATAAAGCCCAATCACCATCAACAAATGTTAGCCCAGTATATACATAGACTAACAAAGTTCTCGGATAAAAATCAGAAAATAAAAATATTTAAAATTTAGGTAAATTACATCCAAGCCTTCATTTTTTGATAATTACATCCAACCCCTAGAATTCGTAGATTTCTTACATTAACACTCTTTTCATTGTAGTGGGCTGGATGTAATTTCTAAAGAAAGAAGGGGTTTTCTTATAATTACACTTTACTTCAAGGATATGGTTGTTTGCAAACATATGACCAATTGGGCCTCTTTAAAAAAAAAATTTACTCATTTTTTAATTTACGGCCCAATAGGCCCACTTCAATACCTAAACTTTGTATCCTAGTATGAAATTTCAATAATTTTGAAGGGTATTTCTGATATTATCTCAAAATCCCAGCAAACAATCAGAAACCCTAATACCCAACCCCCAATTTCAGCGTCGTCTCCCCCACTCGTTGCGTATCAATCCCAAAGGTCTCCACACCACGACCGCCGCCGCCGGCCGTCGTCAGCAACCGCAGACGATTCTTCCGATCAGTTATTCAGGAAATCCAGAGATACGCAATGGCGGCGAAATACGACTTGACTCAGCGGATAGCGCCGCAGCTGGACCGGCATCTCGTGTTCCCGCTGCTCGAGTTCTTGCAGGAGAAGGGTTTGTACGCGGAGGAGGATATTTTGAAGGCGAAAATCGATCTGCTTAATCAGACTAACATGGTCGACTACGCCATGGATATTCACAAATCGCTCTATCGCTCCGACGATGTTCCGCAGGGTATGTGATTGTGTCTGCTCCCAATGCAATTCAATTCTTATTTGACAGTTATTTTGTTTCAAAATAGGATTTTGTGCGGTATTGTGAATTGATGAATGTGGGGCTTTGGATCGTTAGGTGGATTGTTGATTGTTTGGGTGTAATTGCGTTTGATTTTTGCAAATATAGGTTTGTGACATTTTGTTCCTTAGGAATTTTCTGTGTTTTTATTTTCTACTTTAAATGGTAGCTCTGGTTCGTCGTGCTACTGGAGTTGTGGTCCTGTGGAGAGTCGTAGATCTGGATTTTGCATGGAACCCAATTCACCTGGTTTTGCAATTGTTGTTTTTAAACAAATAGGAGTATATAATCGTGCCGATTTGGTTTCTTGTGGAGTTTCGTTGGGTTGGAGAGTATGCACTGCATCAATTGGTTTTTTAGTTGTTGTGCTTGCTATATCTGATACATGTGTTCGTATTATTTGCAATGTAGTGTTGTTTATGTGGGTTAACTTGTGAGGTTCTTATGATTGGTTCATGTAGACAATTTTGATTAATTGTTTTTTTTTCTCTACGTGGGAATTTCGCTTTTCAAATATATTTGGTTTTTATGTTTTCAAGATGAAAATGTTTTTAGCTTCATTAACTGAATTATTATACATTGTTTCTGTTTTCCTGTATGCTTTAGACATGGTGGATAGGAGAGCTGAGGTGGTCGGTAGGCTGAAGGCATTGGAAGAGGGAGCAGCTCCTTTGATGGCCTTTCTGCAGAATCCTAGTGCATATCAGGAATTGAGGGCTGACAAACAATACAATCTTCAGATGCTTAATGATCGTTATCAGGTTGAGTTTCGTTTACACTCTATAAAAACTTAACTATTATTTTTGCTTTCAGAAGTTGTAGCATTGGCGACATTCTTACTTTTATTGTTACGATACTATTTAAATGATCTAACATAGATGATGGGTTAATTTGTCATAATTCTACGGGTGATTTACTTGGTTTTTTCTCATTTTTGTTCGGTTGGTCTTCGTATCTTTGTTGATTATTTTAACTAGTGATCTTAATAGGTTTTGAAAGGCTTGTGTTGAGATTTTGTCAAGCTGTTTAACTGAGTAATATTAATTTTGTCGTCCAGATCGGTACCGAGCAGATAGAAGCATTGTATCAGTATGCCAAATTCCAATTTGAATGTGGAAACTATTCCGGGGCTGCTGATTATTTGTATCAGTACAGGGCCTTGTCCACCAATAGTGATAGGAGTTTGAGTGCGCTGTGGGGAAAACTTGCCGCAGAGATTTTGATGCAAAATTGGGACATTGCTCTGGAGGAACTTAACCGCTTGAAGGAAATAATTGACTCTAAGGTAGGTGCTTGATCCAGATATTGATTTCAATAGTTTATACTCTTCCCTTGTTTTCTGGAGCAAAGTTAATCTTGTATTCATGTATGCTTTTGCAGAATTTCTCATCTCCGATGAATCAAGTTCAATGTAGAATATGGCTGATGCATTGGAGTCTATTCATCTTCTTCAACCATGAGAATGGAAGAATGCTAATCATTGACTTGTTTAATCAGGACAAGTATGAACCGAATCAATTTATACCTTCATTCAACCCACCTCAAATTTTTTTTTTGAAAAACACACACAATAAGTTTTCTTTCAGCATGTTCTGAAATGTAAAATCTCGTGCAGATATCTTAATGCTATTCAAACAAATGCTCCGCATCTCTTGCGTTACCTGGCGACTGCATTTATTGTCAACAAGAGGAGGAGGCCGCAATTTAAGGAATTCTTAAAGGTGATTCAGCAAGAACAGTACTTGTTTGAAGATCCCATTACAGAGTTCTTAGCGTGTATATATGTCAACTATGACTTTGATGGAGCACAAAAGAAGATGAAAGAGTGTGAAGAAGTAAGTACCCCTAACTAGAAATTGTCCTTGCTCACGTTTCTGAAGCAATTCATTGTACTTTCTGAAATATTGTTATACTAACTAAACATCACATGAAGCCGTCCAATTACAAACTCTTTTTCCATTCCTTCCTAGAATTAAGCAATTTATCTAAACTATGGATCCACGTGTTTGGGCAAGAAGACTTGCTTAGGAAACTATCACGTTTCTGATTTTCTGAACCTTGTTATCTTGATGCAGGTTATATTGAATGACCCATTTCTTGGGAAAAGAATTGAAGAAGGAAACTTTGCCTCTGTACCTCTAAGAGACGAATTCCTTGAAAATGCTCGTCTTTTCATCTTTGAGACCTACTGTCGTATTCATCAGCGCATTGATATGGGGTACGTGGGATACCTCTGACAAAATGATTGGTTCCTCTTTTTTTTATTCTCTAAATTTCAAGTTTCAAAACTGAATTACATAGGCATGCTTAATATATTATTCCATGGTTTTTCTGAGGTAACAATTTTGTATGGCAGGGTGCTAGCCGAGAAGCTGAATTTGAATTACGACGAGGCAGAGAGATGGATACTGAATCTTATAAGGACATCTAAGCTTGAAGCTAAGATTGATTCTGAGACAGGAACTATTATTATGGAACCCAATCATACCAATGTGTAAGTTCTGCTGATATACATCTTTATTTTTTTTTATTTTTTTTCATTTTTTTTTTAACTGAGGAATTATATTCATCTGTTTTCAGGTATGAGCAGCTCATTGACCACACTAAAGCACTTTCCGGACGCACTTACAAACTAGTTAGTCAGCTTCTTGAACACGCTCAGACTCAGGCTGCTCGATAGACGTAGTAACCAACATTGCTTTTGACTGATAAAATGGTTTATTTATTTCTTGCAAATTTTGGATTATGGTGCAAACCTGTTTTATGTCATAAATTATTTCGATTTACTGCAAAAAGGAAACTTTTCCTAGAGTCTACGGTGATGATTTTATGTTATAATATCCACATGATGCACGCGTCGTATGTTATGTAGAGGTTTGTCGATTTCTACACACTTGGGCCTCGTTTGGTAATGCTAGTGGAATTGATGAGATTGATTGAATAGATACGAATATTAATTTTACATCTTATATAACAAGACTTGGCTCAATCGCTCAATCGAATAATAAATAAACCATTTTCTCAAATATTATAGTATAGAAGATGTTTCAATATCTACTCAAGAATTTTTCTCGTCGAAAAATTGTTTAATTATTGTTTTATTACCAAATAAATTACGAAAAATTGTATGCTATAGTACACAATTTTTAGTGAAACAATTTGAGGAATAATTTGTCTTTGATGGGCTTTATTATGTCCATATATGTAAATCAATAGGCCCATATGGGCTTATACAAAGATTTGTCCCTATATAACGCCAAAATAATTGACCTTTACTTATACAAAGATTATATAATTCATCCCCAAAGATTTCATCATCAATATCAATGTGCTCTATCTATTACACTCATCTTCATTATAACATGGCATTATCAGCAGCCATCATAGTTATACCAAGTATAACTATCCAATACCACTACTACCAGTGGGATTTAACAAAAAATTGGCGAGTTTCGAACCCAAAAAATTTCTCAGCGGAATCTAGAATATTCCTTTAGTCGGTCATGATAAACAGCTTACAAGTCTTCCCAATGCCACCGTGAATGTGATCTTGATTCATTCCAATTCCGCCTGCTATTATTGTTTCTCTCAAATGAAGTACTAAAACCTGCTGCTTGTCTTCCAGACCAACCACTTCCTCGTTCAAATGGGGAACTGTAAGAAGTTGACGGGCGTCCAGAATCCCTGTAAATATTCCTCAACTCTTCTTCACTATCATACTTCGATCGCTGCAAGAAAATCCAATGCACCGATATTAAAGATCGGTCGTCTTTTTATACATATATATCCCTGGTTATTTTAAGCATACCTTGGAGGGATCGGAAAGTACAGCGTACGCCTCTCCAATTGTTTTGAATAGCCTATCAGCATCTTTGTATATTTTCTCGCCAAATTGCTTCCATAATGTTCCATCATCTCCAACATCACTCTTTGCAAAGACCTGACCAGCCTACACACATAGCATAAACTAGGTATATCAAAACAAAAATATCCAACAATGTTTAACCGTAGAATGGCATAACTAAGAGAGAAGTCTTATTAAAGACCTTGTCTGGATGATGCCTGAGAGCTGCCTTTCGATATGCTTTCTTGATATCAGATTCAGCATCAGATGCTTTGATTCCCCTGCCAAAAGAGATTGATTTTACATGCTCAGAGAGAGTACAGTAATTACTATATTGGAAATAAAAAACGATGGCTTCACATGCATTTCAGTTTTCATCTCAATGCAAGAATCTTAAAACTAAAATCAAATATGAATATTGGACTTACAAAATAAGGTAATGATCCAGAGAAATTTCCTTTTTAGACTTTTCTTCAAGTGATGAAAGACGACGGCGAGCTTTTCTTAAATCCTTCACACTGCCTCCACCTGATTTACTTTGAGTAACATTTTGTTGACTTTTGGTTTGTGATTGACTTTCAAGAAGAGAGATCAGTCTCTGAAGATCATAAACTGCTTGCTTATAGTCCCTAATCATCTCGTGTAAAGTAGCTCTCCTTGAAATCGCCTACGTACAAAGCCAAGAACTTAGTTAACAAAGGTGGTTGTCAATAAACGACGTCCATAAAAATGCAATCTATATTTTAGCTGCTAAATTTGATATTAGTTTAAAGTTTAAACTGTATACAGTCGTATAAAATAATAATCCTATTCTTAGTAACTAATAATTATCTTTATTTATACCCACCTTTTCATAATTTTCATTGAGAGCGATAGCTACACTACAGTCTGCAATGGCATCAACAATTTGGCTTATTGATTGGTATGCAGCAGCACGGTTGCAAAAGCAGACAGCCAAGAAAGGGCGTGACTCGAAACCTTTCGATATAGCAGCATTATAATTCTCTATAGCGTCGGTATACCTTCCGGAATTAAAGGCTTCATTTCCCAATTTCTGTTTCGTGAACAAGAAAAGAAAGGGAAATTACTCTTTCTGCAATTCTAGAACTAAAGCAGTTATAAAATCAGAAGTATCTTAATAGAAACCTAAGCAACAACAGTTAACAGTTAATAATGCATACTTTCAAGCCCAAGAGTTCTTGTATAGTGGCAGCTAAAGCAATTGATTCCTGACTCACATCCCCAGACCTACATGATGAAATATGTAATTAACATTTCAAGAAAATTTTAATTAATGTTTCAATAAATAATTAAATATTTACAGACATAACATAATTGCTGATTTATGGCCACTGAGTTTTACCCGGAGCTGACAGGCAACTTTTCTTGTTTTTCAATCAAATCAAGAGCCAGTTCAAGCCTTCCTAGACAATAGTGGGACTTGGCCAGCAGGTGGGACCTCCACAACATCAATTGATCAGCACCAAAATTCTTTCTGGCAATATCTAGAGTTTGTTCACAGTGTTGAATCACCTTGTCATACATCCGCAGCTGTACCAATAACATAACCACATCAGGACATCGTCAGAACCTCGGAATAGTTTTGTATATGATAAAATTGAATGTGAATGTGAGACATTAATCGGCACATACAATGCATAGAGCATCTCCTTTCATCTTGAGCAATCTCTCTGAGTAACGGCTTACTGACAACGCCTCCCCGATGATCACTAGAGCACTGTTTGCAGCGGTATCGGTTCTTTCCAACAATAGTTTGGCAGACTGATCCATGTATTCAGCTACTCTCTGACAACCACAAAACCGTTGATCACATGATGACATATTTGTATATCAAATAAACAAGAATTCTAGTAAAGAAAGCTTCTTCGAGTTCAAACTCATCTCAGAAGAAAGAATCAAGAAATGTTGAAGTCTCAAAAGGTATCCATGGAAATCTAAGGTAAACCAATCTCTTGACACTAAGTCTTAATACAGTAGAATATGTCCGCAACATGCTTCTGTCTTGTTAAATGTATTAAATAAATAGATTAGAAGGAGACATATTAACATCATATTATTCACAATAAATTTTGTCTAACCAGAAATGGACAAGGGATAGTTGAGGACAATGACTAATAATAATTACTCACCTTTGCCTTTTGCAGGCCATCAGCAGCTTCAATTGTAGCTTTCCTATCTAAGCACAGGTCAGCACTCAAGCATTTTGTGTAACACTGAATAGCATCCTCAACTTCTCCCAACACCAAATAACAACTGCAAAATTATAAATAGCAGAGAGTTTATACATCCGGTAGACAGTTATTCCAAATAACATGAAAGAACAGTTAAGTTACATATAGGTAAATACTTTCAATTGCTGCATCTATTGTAGCACAGTATTGAATAGACAGAACACTGAGAACCAGAAAGACAAAACAAGGGCATAGTACTTACTTTCCAGCCCTTAATGTAACTTTCAAGAATTTTGGGTCTAGTTCAGTAGCTTTTGTGCAATCTTCTAAGGCTTCTCTCATTCTCCCAAGTGACATTCGTGTGGCAGCACGGTTGCTATAGCAGAGTAGAAGTGGCTTCATGGAGTATCCTAGGATATTGACATGTTGGACAGAATTGATTCCCATTGAGTAAAACTCCTCAGCTATAGAAAGTTTCCTAGCATGATAAGCCTGGTTTCCCCTGGAAAAAAAAGGATTATTCAAGTAATCCTAGTAAATGCTTGTAAACAATAATTGATCATAAATCAACATCAAAACCAAACAGGCACAGAAAAAGAAAAAAAAAAAAAACTCAGAATAAATTGTGTTTCCCTAGAATTAATGGAGAGGGGTAGATGTTGGAAAGAGATTCATTATTGAGACGTGCATACCTTGTTCGCCAGTGCTCGCATAATTCATGAGTTGCAGTTCCCACAGATTCTTGCTCAGCATTTTCCTTGTCAGAATTACCGCCTTGGACTGTATGATTTAAACGATCTTTCAACTTATACTTCTTTACCTTGTATTGTCGTCTTATGGCCGACAGGCCATCTTGTGCAGGTAATGAAGGAGATAAATTTGACCCGCTCTCTTCATCATGAGGCCTTTCAGAGGGTTTAGGTTTCTCGTTCAGTGAAAATTCTAGTTTAGTACCAGTATCAATATATGCCTGCGAAGTATTACTAGCACTAGTATCTTGATAAGGTGAAAAATCCATGGGTGAACCCCAACCAGGAGACATGTGATTTAACTGTGAACTGTCTTCTTTAGACACACTATCCTGGCTAAAAAACTGATGGACCACAGGTTTTTGCTTTGTCTTTCCGTTTCTCTTCTTTGATCTTCTGCTACCCAATAGCTTACTATTTGTATTATCCAACTTCTTATTTATGGCAGGGAATAAATTGAAGTTTGACAAGACAAATTTCGTATTTGGTGTGCTACAATCTGCATCCGACAACCCTAATTCAGCCACTTTGCTTGCCAAACTAATACTATCTTTCTCATTTTTATTCATAGATGGTGCCTCACTAAATTCCCCATCTAATTGGATGTCTATTCCAACAACAGATGGGAACAAAGATGAAGAAGGTCTGTTTGACTCGGAGTTATTGCGTGTCGAGTGACTCACATCTGGAATCGCCTCATTCATATTTACCGGAGGATTCTCCTTTTCAAAACCAGACTTTTTCTGGTCATTTCCAAATACAAACACATTATTGTTATTCACAGAAAAGTTAGTATTGTTAGAATCAACTTCAGATTCACCGACGTTCAATCGCTTCATCTCTTCTGATATACTAAATGCAGGACCTTTCTCAACAGAGCCACCTGAACTATTATTGTTTTGAAATTTAGAGTCAATATTTGAACCAGTACTACGGTTATCCTGCCTGGAACCATTACAATCTTCCGTTTTCCCCCCATTCAATTGATCCATGCCACTAAAAAACTTGATAGTTCCATCAGAATTGCAATGCTCTTTGCCTTTGGGTCCTCCAAAAACAAAAACACCACTGGCCCTATCTGTAAAGCTAGACGTACCCACACTTGGAGGAATGGATTTTTTTTCCAAATCCGTGCCTAATTTAGAATCACTATCATTCCAACCAAACACAAATTTTACATTATTTTCGCTACTAATGTCGTTCCAATTAAATGAGAACTGAGAGCAAGGATGACAGACCTTTTTGGAATCTCCAGCAGCATCCAATTCAACTTTACCCGTCATATCAGGTTCGGCATTTTGAGCACCTTTATCAGACTCACCGTTGTCCATGACTTTCCCAGATTCTTGCTTCTCTAGATTTAAACTGAACAATGAAGATGCACTCGTTGCTGCACCAAATACAAATTTCGCACTGTCAAGGTTCCCAAACTCACCAACACTAAAATGCAAATCGGACTTCTTTGAATCTTGCTGGTCTAAGTTCCGTGAGGCTGGGTCATACTTATGTGAACCAAACACAAATTCAGTGTGATCAGATTCATGGAACTCATGAACCTCTGATTGCCCCAAATTTCCTCTAGACTCTTCTCCTCTGAAATTTGAATTTGAACCAGACTCATTTCCAGCAACATCGAAGACAAACTGCTGTCTTCCCGAATTTGTATCCATCGGCAATCCACTCTTATTTTGACCCGAAACAGAAACCCCACCTGGCAAATCCACATTCGTCACAGAACCAGCCTTAGAAGCTCCAAATAGGGAACTCCCAGTTTCTTTCTCCGAGTCTACATTTGAGCTATCTTTGCTCGACGGAAACAAAAATTCACCCTTATTCGAGTATAAACTGCTTGTGGAGTTATTAATGCTAGAACCAAACAAGGTCTTCCCACTTCCCAATCCCAAACCAAATACAGAATCATTCAAATTACCACCAAAACCTAATCCATTCCCATGTTGATCAATGTTCCCATTTGAATCACCCACCCTCACACTCCCATTTGGCTCAGAATTTCCATTACTACCCTCAGACTCATTCCTCAACTCAGCGTCAAACTTAATCCCACCACTAAAATCACTAAACCCATTCAAACCCAAATCACCTTTCACAGATTTTCCATCTTGATGAGCCGCCATTTGTTTCCTCCTTATCTTCATCAGCCTAGGCCTCGACCGACTCGAAATATTCGATTTTTCAGGGCCGATTTTCGAGTGATTAAATCCAGCAGCATCAGTTGAACCTGCAGAAAAATTAAAACCCTGCATCGAAGGGAAATCGGGTTTGTGTGGAGAAGTTATCGGAGGTGACATTTCGGAGCTAGATTCCGGCGGGGTGGTGAATTTGTGGGGGCTAATTAGGGATTTTGTCCACAATCGGCGACAAAAAACGTAAGAAGAACAGAGATTTTGGGGATTGTTCTGCTTGAAATGGAAGAGATGAAAGCTACAGATATCCGATTTTTCGGTAACTTTTTTGAAATTATGGGAGGGTTTTTTTAGGTTTTGGGGTTTTTTCCCATTTGAATTTGATTAATTTGAACGTTACTGTTACCTTATAAACACTACTGTTACCTGTTTAGTGGCGTGTTTGGCTGTTTACATAAAAATAGAAAAAAACACTTAAAAGTTGTTAACAACTTACATGCTCGTATTAAGAAGTATCTTGCCGCGACCACTTCAACTTCTTAATATATTCGTATTTTATGTCATACTTTTTGGAATATGCCGATAACTCATGTGTGTTAAATGTCTCGTCGATCCATATTCCCTTGTCTTCGTATGTGGGGTTGCCAATTTGGATTCGGTTCTACGGATCTGATCAGATTCGATTCGATCCACATGGATCCTATTTTTATTAAATTTAGTTAGAAATAAAACGGACTCAGTCGATAATTTTTAAAAACTTGATCGATGTGGATCCACTTTGGATCTATTGAAAGTTAATCAAGAAAATGAAGTGGACCCAATTAAATCCCAAAAGTTAAAAAATAAAAATTAAATCTGATTTCTCAATACTCAATTCATAAATCGTCAAATTATAATCCATCATCACTTCTCATATTGTTGTGCCTCTGCCGCTGTCTCCGTCGTCGCTCGCCACCATTGCCTCCACCCCTGTCGCCGTCTGCAGTGCTCATGCAACCGTCGTCAACACCACCCCTCTCTCTCTCTCGCGTTAATTACTATAGAGTGGCAATTTTGTAATTACTTATTTTTTCAGAACTACAAAAACAATTGCGGAAAAGAAAAAAAAAACAATAAAACCAAACAGGCCCTAAAGTACCAAAATCAAAAGTTGGAAATTTATTTTTCCGAGGTTATTCCCCCATAACCGAATGGTGTCTGGCGTCGCACAAACGCAAGCCACGTGTCCAACACGTTAGCTGTTTGAGAATAGAATACTGCTTTTACTTCAGTTCTACGAGCAAAGAACCCAAAAACCAGACAACCGCCGCCAGCTTCTTACCGGTGCCCAAGATGTACTGAAAACCCCTCTCTCTCTCTCTCTCTCTCTCTCTCTCAATTTATGTTCGTCTGTGTGCAGAAGGTGTTGCTTTTCTTTAAATTTGTGTAGCTTAAATTCCACGATACATACTTTTTTTGAGAGAGAGAGATTGTTGCTAAGATAATATATCTGAATTTTATTTAGACATAAATTGAACTAATTAAACGTCGTCGTTTGCAATAAAATTGTTGTTTATCAAATATGATTTTGAGCTTCTTAAATTGTTGTAATTGCAGATGCTAAAGTGATATATATACATCTTAAAAATTGCTATCAATCATGGAGTTTGGCTCATACGAAAATACCCAAGGTATTTCATTCTCTTTTTAATTTTTTATTTTTTATTTTTTTTCACACAAAAATGGATTATTTTTATGAAATTTGTGGAAGTTTTGACATATGGAATGCTGTAATTTCAATTTCTCTACAGTTTTAGTCTTCGTCTCTGTTATTCGTGTTTTGAGCATGGGGTTTATTAGAAGGAAATAAAAATCGAATTATAGCGTATCTATTTTTGAAAGTATTGTCATATGTTTTTCGATTGTAATGTGGCTGTTGCCTTGTGTTTAATTGTTTCACTAAAGTCAACTATTTGAGAAAGCAACTCGTAAAATTTCGGAATTTGCATCAGATGCCTATATACGAAGCAGCAGTTAAAGGAGATGTAATTCTTCGTGTCTCGTTTATATTGTTTGGTAGATAAGGTGATGCAGCTATTTTCTTTAAAAAAGAAAATTATGAAAAAATCGAAAACAGAGAACATGGCTCGAGTGCTTCAAAAAACCAAAATTATTTCGTATTATTAACCGGCCTCGATTTTCTTCTCCCAAAAACAGATAAGGGCAGCAGCAGCTCAAAGAAAGACACTCCTGCCCCTGGAGATACTGTCGGAGAAGTAAATGCCGAAGCTCGTATAACTGCCGATGAAGTCATTTTGGCTGGTGGATTTGGAGCCACCGATGACATCAGCACTATCCTACCTATTGCACGCGATCGCACCGATTTCGAGGACCATCTCCGCAAGGTTGAGGGCTACGAAGATTCTGCTGAAAGACTGTCCGATCCTCCGAAAAACATTAACAACAATGGTAAAGATGCCGCGTGCGAAGCGGTAAATATGGAAGCTTCCGTAACTTCCGATGAAGTGACACGGGCTGGAGGGTTTGGAGCGAGAGATGATATAAGTAGTTTCCTTCCAATTGCGAGCGATTTCACTGATTTCGAGGCCAATATACGTGACGCACGAGGCTATGAGGATTTGAACGAAGAAATCAAAAGACCGGGTCTTGGCTGGAGTAGTGAAACTAATAAGTGAATCGAGTGATGTATCTGATGTTTTAAGTAATTTTCGGACTTCAAATAGTAAGATTTTTTTAGAGCACTAAAGCGCGTTTTTTTTTATAGTAATTCTAATTGTAAAATTCGCCCGAGGGAAGTACAAAACATTCTAGAAGTATTTACACTTAAAAGTGGCGTTTGCCTATCTTCTTAGAGCTCTTATATATATATATATTAAGCGATAATATTTCGGCTTTTTTAATCACTGTAGTGCGAAAGCTTTTTTCCTTTGGAATATTCTTTGTCCAGGAGCTAGGATTGCCAAGGGGTCGTAACTCGATTTTCTCCGGCAGAAAACTTCCCATTGATCGCCGAAGTGAGCTTTCCACTCTTCTCGAGTGGTGTAATGAGGTAAGTACTGTTTAATTCCGAGGTGGGGCCCACCGCAATAACTCAGGATTTTCTTGTTCTGTGTTAGAATATGTTCTAGCCCGTCTTTTCCGGTGGAAGAAGGCATTGCCGAAGATAGAAATGCCACTAGGTAGAAAACATCTTCGTCGGGTGTGATTAAGGATGTCCTGTGTTTCCATCTGTGGTGTAAGAATGAAGATGGAAATTAGATACTAATTTGGAAATAGACAACCTTAATTAGTTGTGTGATTGAGGTTTAGTACTTTGATTTGTTGACAGGGTAGATTAGGACAGGGCCATTGCTTGTATCTTTGAGAATGTTGCCGAAAACTTTGTGGGCAAAATCGTGAATACTTCTTTTTGGAACGAGAAGGTTTAGCCATGGGTGAGGAACATCCCACAAACCCTTTTCCCTTAGTTTTATTTCGGACACGTGGACGCGGTCAAGAAAATCGATGTAAGAAACTTCCGACAGAAAAAGAGTGGACTTGATGTAGTTCAGTTCCGATAAGAGGGTATCGATTTCCTGCATGTGAAAGGGCGAAAATTCTTTACTTCAGAAGCAATTTTTTTTTTTTTTTTGAGATAAACGCACAAAAAGGTAAAAGATTCTGACCTGATTAATGTGATTGTCGGATTCTTCGGGATTGTAGTATTTTGCAACTTCCAGGCAAAACAGAATCTTGCCTTCGGAAGTGAACTCGTTCGCCTGAACAGGATCTTTCGGGTTGAAAGACGATCTCCAGTTGTTTAATAAGCCAGTTCTGTTTATAATGACGAACCCTTCTACATAATCGAATGAATTTGCGGAAGATATTATTCGCTCTTGATCCTCGGCGAATGTCGAAAAGTCTGCGTAAAGTGCTCTGATCCATTTAACCTGAAAGACATACGTTATATATATAAAAAAAAAAAAGAATCTTTTTTTCGTAATTAATATTTCTGTTGGTTTATTACAAATGTTATTACCATTTTCGGGGCAGGTTCTAAGGCGATTCTAGCCTGTGTAATGATTCCAAACTGTCCTAATCCTCCAAGAACAGCATGAAACAGATCGCTGTTCTGCTCCTCCGAACAAGTCGCCACTTCTCCTCTGCCTGCACGAAAAAAAAAATGTTAAGGTTAGTACATTACAACGATTTATGTTTTCCCACTACTAAGTTTCTTGATTCTTGAATTTATAAAAAAAAGAAAATCTTGCAACATAGATTTATTACCAGTGACAACTTGTAATCGGTAGACATTATTAATCTGCGGGCCATGTCGGAAAGCTTGCCCGCTAATTCCAGCGTTCGATAAAGTCCCGCCGACTGTGAGGTGAAGATAGTCGGTCCAAGATTTAGGCGCTAAACCCTTTTTAACACTCTCATGCAGAATATTTATCCAAAGCTCGCCAGCCGAGACGTCTACATAGGGCCGTTTGCCTGTCTGAAAACTCATCTCAGGTACCCTTAAAGATTCCATTTTTATTACAACACCTTTATAAGCCTGTGCTTGGCCTTCTAAAGAGTGCCCGTGGCCCCTAGCGGCCACCGTGAGTTCAGAATCTAGGCCTAAATCGAAAACATATTTTACGATGGAAGAAATATCGGAAATTGATTTAGGGTTCAAAACGGCCGACGGCATTAGATGGTGTCTATTGCCAAAGTCGTTTGCTGCATGCTCGACGTTCGTGAACGATAAACGACCGTCGAATTTCATATTAGCCAACGATGAATTTACGGTTAGTGGGGTGAGAAAAGGGTGGTTAGATGAACAAAGATGCTCCTTGTTAATCATGAAACTTAGACAGAAAATTAATCCAAGAAAGGAAAAAGTTTGTTTCTTGAAGAAGATGTGAGATAGTGTAGAGAACATTTTTCTTACAGAGTACTAAGAAATTTTTCTTTTTCCCTTTTAATGTGTGTTCTCTCTTTGTCTGTGAATCAAAGTGTGTCAAGGGGGTGAATTTAAAGAAGGGTTTTTTTTTTTTTTTTTTTTTTTAAAATTAAATTAAAAAAAAAAATCGAACGCGGGCCCGTATATTAGTTTGTGTTAGTGGAGATATATGTATGCATGTACAAGGAAAATAAGATTTTTACTCAGATTAATTGATTGTGTTAAATACTTTATTTTAGGGCTAATTTGAGCAAATATATTAGTACACATGGACCAATCAGCAAAGTGTTTCACATGTTGGGAACTTTATGACTTCATTCTTGGTGCAAGGTGATTCTGTATGTTGTCATAAATGCACTATTTGTCAGATGGTGGATATGCAATGAATTATGTTAATTTTTTTTTTAATTTAAATTTTTTTTTTTTTTTTTTTAATTTAGGAGATGTTACATACAATTTACATACATGTAAGTAATTTGAGTTTAATTTGTGTTGGAAATGAGTGAGAAAAAAAAAAAACTAAGGGAGGAGGAGGCGCCGGCCCCTACCTGATGCAACTCTGTTATAAAGTCAAATGTGATTCAGAAAGTCGAAAAGTTTCCTGTTTTGGAGTTTGGCCAACCTAACATGCCTAATATTTTTTGTTCCTTTTTTTGTTGATTATATTTTTTATTAATAGACATAAATATATGTGAGTGCATGTTTATGTCTGAAAACCATAATTTTCTTGCTGCCTTTAAATATACATTACAAATCTCTTGTCTGAAAACAAGAATTATTATTATGTAATAATAATAATAATATTTCTAGAACTTTCTCTCCTTTGATCCATTTTTTTTTTTTTTTTTTTTTAATTTTGTGTGTGTGTGTGTGTGTGTGTGTGTGTGTGTGTGTGTAGGGGCCTGTGTGGAAGGAATACTGGAGAATAAAAATGGGGAAAGTGGTGGGATGTGGAGATGACAGTCTCAAATGGGGAGACACTGAGAAAAAAGGTTTGAAACTATTATTACACTTTTGTCTTTAATTTGGAGTCTTTGATTCCAGCACTTGTACACTGTCTACATGATTCTGCTGCTGTCAAACTTTATATAACATCTACTGTGTTTATATATTCTATTTTTTCTATAATATAATATATATTTATTTCTTTAATATTTGTTTTTAAATTTTTATTTGATGTTTTGGAGTGATTCTTGATAAGTATCAATGGCCAACCTGTAGACCACACTACAAGTTCAAAATGCTGGCGTGGAAATTTAAATTCGTAGTCGAAATAATGATTTTTAAAACCGGACCGAGCATAGAAGAAGCCTGATAGCCAATTGGGTTACGGTTGGATAGCGTTGTACTCGTTCGATCGGATTTCTTGTTGTTTTCTAAACAACTTATCAGACGTTAGAGCTTATCAGCTGTTTAAAATAATCTCAGCCAAACCGGGTCTAAAACATTTTTTGGGTAAATTACACTTATACCTCTGAAGTATGTTAAAATAACTTTAAAGTCGTTGTAGTATTGGTAATTACAACTAAACCTGTGAAACAATTACATGAGCCAGTATTTCATGTATTTCATGTCTTGAGGATCGATATGCACTTTATTTGTTTCACGCGGGACAATTAATGTTACTATAAACGAAAATTTATAAATCTTATATAAAAATAACAAGGATTTAAGAAATGCACGGAGAATCATGTCACCTCCTAAGTCTATGTTGTTTCCACCACCGCCTGATGCTAATAGTCCGTTAAAATTCTAACGGAATAATGTACCCAATGCATTATTCGTTTAGGGTTTCTCACCATGTTTCAGGGCTTTGATTGTAGTTATCAATACTACATGGACCTTAAAGTTACTTTAGCATACACCAGGGGTCCAAGTGTAATTTACCCTTTTTTTTTTTTGGTGTATGTAGTGGTGTGTGTGGATTTATAGTGGTTAGGTTATGATGGTAAGGAGATATTCTTGTACTATGATAAGATACTATTTGCTATATAGGGAACGTACAAATAATACCTCAACCTGTGTCCAAATCTTGTACATTTGGCATATTGCAATAAAACCCCCTGTTTATGGCATTTGTCACTTTTCACCTTTTATTTATTTTATTGGAAAATATTGTCACACAACCTTTCAAAGTCTAGCATCTTATCATTTTTCTCTATGGTACATTTGATTCGGATCGATTTTTATTTTTGTTTGTAATATCGAGTTTCAGATTTGAAAAGATTTCCAACAAATATTTTTTTGGAAAAAATATATATATGAAATTAGAATATTGAAAATTCAAATGAAAAATTATTTATCACAAAATTCGAGATTTTTCCAGTGGAATCGAGTGAATTCAAAAATGCCGTTCCAATTTTCATCTTACTTGCATGGAGTGTGAAATGTAAAATATATTTCTAGTAATTTCACAATACTGCATTAAATTTATTTTTCCTGTATTACCCATATTTATCCCATCATAATTTGATCAAGATTATGTTAGTCTTTTTAATGTGTTTCTCCTAAAACCGAGAAACATTTATTGAAGTTCTTCATACTTGTGTAAAGCCGAAAAACGAATATTATTAAAACTGATCATGGTTTTTACAAGTCGTCTTTCAGCAATCAATAATTGCGCTCGACAAGAAATTAGAAGTAAATATATAATAAAATCAAAAGAACAAAAAGAATGAACTTAAGTGGTTTATTGACACATTAATAATAATGTATTAAGATTTAGTTTAGTGCTGAATAATGATTGTTGTTTCTTCCTTAATCTTAATTAATACCGTGATGCATGGAATTATAATTTGATGTGGTTCCCGACAAATATTTCGATAAATTATGTAATTAATAAATGAAAAGGGACGATGTCTTTAAGGATGACTAGATTATCTATATAAACTACCGAGCGATTGGAACAAGTCAGCTTCTATGTATTAATTGATCCAAATTCGAATTCCCGTTTTTCCATCTTCTATTTCTACAAAAGTTTTTGAAATCACCACCTAACTCTTGATGTAATTTTTCAACTTTCATTTTATTTTATTTTTTTTCTTAATTAATATAGATATTTCAATTTGTTTGATACAAATATTTCATTTTATTTTTTCTTAATTGATATGGATATTTTTTTTCTTAATTAATATAGATATTTCAATTTTTTTCCTTGCCCAATAATGGTGTGAGTTAATATTAAAAGGCACGCCAATGCAAGTGGTTGCATTATATATCCTTTTTCCTGTTTTGGAAATTTTTCCTATTTAATATCAGTCTTGTAAAGCCATTTTTAGTATTAAAATAAATAAATAAATAATAAGAGCCAATTATTTGCATCAAACATCCCATCCAAAATAACTTCACTAAGGTTCATTATTTCATGCAATAAATGAGACATATGCAAGTTGGAGAATAACATTTAAATTTGGTATATTCCAATTGCAAAACAATAATGCAGTTATCGAGAGCTGGTCGAACCACAATCGAATATCGTGAACGCTTATATGTGTGTTGAATGACTATAAAACTATGTTTGCATTCATTACAGTCCATTAATTTTTGGAATGATTTATTGCGTTCGAGTACTAGTAATATATAATTATATATTATAGTATGTAAATAAAATAGGGTACATAGCAGTTAACCCCCTATAATTTGAATATTTTGCATATGAACCCCTTGTATAATTTATAGCCCCATAGCCATAATATTTTATTCAACGCAACCGACCAGCCGGAGGAAAAAGAAGACCAAAAAACAGTGAAGCATAATTGCACTAGATACGTTATATTGTCAACCATGTTAGTTAATATTTAATATTTAATATTGTATAATATATAAAATAATATATATATAGTTCTAATTGGTCGGCTGAAGAATATGGACAAATACGAATGTGACCTCGTACGTTGGTAATAACTAATAAATTCAGTATATTTAATTATAAGTTAGGCCAAGTTTACTGTATGCCTATACCAATAATAATATATATACAATAATAAACTAGGGTAAATTACAAACACCCCCTTGAGGTATGGTCAATTTACAAAAAAACCCCTCTTGTTTGCATAATTACATCTAACCCCCTCAAATATGATTTGCTCTTACACTTCCACTCTTATGGTGTCAAATTCAACATAATCATCTAGATTTAGTGTAATGTGCTCTAGTATGTACTCGTTATGCGTAAAAATACAGTTTCTGAT